TGGTTTGGAATTAACCGGACCTATCACACACGTATGTGCTCATTAGTGGACAGGGACATAACCTGTGACATCCACAAGCCCAAATACTGATAACACATAGCGAGGTGTGAGGTGTTGTAAGTATATGGGTTGGTTTGTTGTTATTTAACGCAGCACTCAGCAATATTCCAGCTATATGACAGCGGTCTGTAAATAATCGACTCTGGACCAGACAATCCAGTGATTAATATCATGAGCATCGTTCCACACAATTGGGATCGGTGACGTGCATCAACAAAGTCAGCGATACTGTGATATCGCTATTTGACATCACCTGGTATATAGAGCATGAAAAAATGATATTATGATACATAACGTGGGTGCGGCGTTAAACAACAAACTAACATTGTCGAGTCATGGCACTCACATCACGCAAAATAGAGTCGACTTTTCATGCATCATTGGCTTACTATAGTAGGGTTCATTCGAGGAATTTTCTGACATGGGCCCTTTATGTGGAAATATCAAATATTCAAGAGGTACCCCATACAGCACAATGTGAAATTACCCCATTGTATTTGAAAATGTCGGTCTTTTTTCAAACTTAGGCCCCCACCCTAGAATTATCCCTGCTGTAAATTATGCCTATTTTATGGCCTGATTGTCATACTCATAGTAAGTGGGAGTATAGTACTGTGGTTCTGTGTGAGCGAGGACAAGTTCAAGGCACTCGTGATTCTGTCGTGAAATGCCTGGTGATATTTCTAAAACTCGGATACAAACACTGTGTGGAGCTTGTGTTACATTTACAGTATTTACTGGATCTGTAATCAGGGTTCACTCTCGGAAACAAACACTGTGTGGAGCTTGTGTTACATTTACAGTATTTACTGGATCTGTAATCAGGGTTCATTCTCGGAAACAAACACTGTGTGGAGCTTGTGTTACCATGTTACATTTACAGTATTTACTGGATCTGTAATCAGGGTTCACTCTCGGAAACAAACACTGTGTGGAGCTTGTGTTACATTTACAGTATTTACTGGATCTGTAATCAGGGTTCACTCTCGGAAACAAACACTGTGTGGAGCTTGTGTTACATTTACAGTATTAACTGGATCTGTAATCAGGGTTCATTCTCGGAAACAAACACTGTGTGGAGCTTGTGTTACTTTTACAGTATTAACTGGATCTGTAATCAGGGTTCATTCTCAGAAACAAACACTGTGTGGAGCTTGTGTTACATTTACAGTATTTACTGGATCTGTAATCAGAGTTCACTCTCGGAAACAAACACTGTGTGGAGCTTGTGTTACATTTACAGTATTTACTGGATCTGTAATCAGGGTTCATTCTCGGAAACAAACACTGTGTGGAGCTTGTGTTACATTTACAGTATTAACTGGATCTGTAATCAGGGTTCATTCTCGGAAACAAACACTGTGTGGAGCTTGTGTTACATTTACAGTATTTACTGGATCTGTAATCAGAGTTCACTCTCGGAATTTCCTGACATGGGCCCTTTATGTGAAAAGTTCAAATGTTTAAGGGATACGCCCATATAGCACAATGTTAAATTGCCCAATTGTATTTGAAAATGTTGGCCTTTTTTAAATTTACAGGGGCTAAAAACTGAAGGCCTTACCCTAGAATAACCCCTGATCCAATCTTCAGAATGATTCCAAAACCATCATCTTGGTTACATGACGTCTTGGTTTGGTCACTTTAAGCATTAGAGTTATACCTCCACAAATAGAAACTTAGAGGAAATGGTTGTGAAGGTTGCGAAGAGGCTGCTCAGTTTTTGCAAGTTCGATAAATTCTGAGCCTCACATATTACAAGTAATTGTGTAATAGTGAGATATTTTGTTGTGGACATTATTGTCCACAAAACCTAGAGTCAGTTGAGCAAATAATTTCAATTACCGAATTGTCTCGTCCAGACTTAATTATTAACAGGCCACCGTCTTGTAGCTGGAATATTGCAGCGTTTGGCATTAAACAAGAAACAAACAATTTCTGCAACATGTGACTAGGTACTAGGTCATTTCACTCGTGAAGATCCGGGGTAGAATAGGTCTTCAGCAACCAACCGTAAAAGGCGACAATGCTTGTCATAAGAGGCGACTTACAGGATCAGGTGGTCAGGCTCGCTAACTTGGTTGATGCATGTCATGGTATCCCAATTGCATGGATCGATGCTCATGATGCCAATCACTGGATTGTCTGGTCCAGACTCGATTATTTACAGACCGCTGTCATACAGCTGGATTGTTGCTTAATGCGGCGTTAAACAACAAACAAACAACAATGTACTGGCCCAGTCTTGGTTAGTTACAATGACGTGAGATAGCTGGAACTATACTGCTGAACAACAAACAGACAAACAAAACAAACAAACTATGTCATTTGAGGTAGGTAAACTAAGTTTTTGCAGCTCAATTTATGCTGGGATGGGTGACATGGGTGGCCCAGTTTTGTCAAGGGTGCCACAAATCTGCCCAGCAAATTGTGACATGTTCCACATGCCTGGATGCTTTTGTTGTGGGTCAAAATACCGGTTTGCCCTGGTTATATTTCTGAGCCCCTTTACCTGTCCCGTCTCGTGGGTTTCACCAAAGTCAGTGTTAAACTTCTAAGGCCAGGCTTTTTTTTATTTTTAGGATTACGGATTTTTCAGCCCAAAGTCCACGGTTGGAGGAATTTGGGTGAACAAACAGGTATAACAAACCTGGTAAAAAAATATGAAATTTGATATAAAATATCACCAAACACGATAATTTAGCTTTAAAAATCTATTTCCTGCTCTCATAGGCATTGCTTTATATGCAGAGATTAAGATTATTGTGTGTATTGTCTCATAAACTAAGCCGGAAATAGCAACCAGCTGTACACACGTTCTCCCAATCTACCAGTGATTCAGTTAAAAAGTACCCAGTGATTCATTTGTAACATATGTATCCATTCACTGGCAACTAAAGTTCGCTGCAAAGCGTAATCTGACCGTGGTTGCTGTAATTATAAATAATTGTGAGTTGTGCCATCTACTGATCACTTCACATACGATTTCGCCGAAATTAATATAAACAATATGGAATTAAATTTTCTATAAAATCAATAAAATCAATAAAATGTATTACAAACATAAGTCCAGATATACATTGAACACATTTTTATAACCAGATAGTATAATAATAGTTTTGAACTGCGTACTTGAGTTCGGATTTATTGACTGGTATTTCCTGTGTTCCTGCTCGCGCTGATCAGCTGATGTTTTTTTGTGATTGGGAAAAACATTGTGTCAGTGAAAAAGCTTGAGCTTGTTAAAATGTAAGTAAATTTTGGGAGCCATGCGTTACCGCGCTCTATAACAGATTAAGCGCTATATTGAAGGGTGCAATAGCGAGGGAACATTGTACTAAGATGTGCATTCTGTATCGTGGTGTATCGATAACGAGGCCCTCGTGTAACGTATCGTGGGTCAAGTATCGCAATACATCGGAATATAGTTGTATCGTTTTACCCTTAGTCATCGTAGTGTTTCTAGTGAGGTAATTAAATTTGTTCAGGGTTCGAAATTCCCGTACATCTGCTAGTCCATGACTATTATTCAGAAAGACTAGTGACATTTCCTTGTGGACTGCCACTTTTATCAGTTTGTTTGTTTGTTTGTTTGTTTGTTTGTTTGTTTGTTTGTTTGTTTGTTTGTTAAATGCCACACTCAGCAATATTCCAGTCTGGACCAGACAAACCAGTGACTGACATCATGAGCATCGATGTAAGCAATTGGGATATGATGACATGCATCAACCAAGTCAGCAAGCCCGACCACCCAATACCATCAGGTGGCTGGCCACTTTGTAGCCCTGGGTACCAATGTGAAACTGCGGCATGGTATATACTTTGGCCAGAACTATATAAAACTGAGACACGTTGGAACTTATGAGTTCAAGCAAGCACACACACACACACACACACTAACACTAACACTAACACACTAACACACACTAACCCACTAACACACTAACACTAACACACTAGATATGACGTTAAACCCCGGTCACCTCACTTACTTTCACCAGTAGGCAGATAGCAATTCTGAAGCAGATAATATTTGATATTTTTAGTGAAAATAGAAATTAATTTTGAACACTGAAAACTCATCCAAAGCCTAAACATTTGACACAGCTTGTAATTGTATTGTTGTTTGAAGTTGCCAGATGCATGCAAAACATTCAACAATGTTTTTAAATGCAATGAGACTTGTCAGCTGTTGTAAACCAAATTGATTTTATTTATCATTAATTATATCTGTTAGAGTTGTTTTGGAATTGTGAAAATTGCAATTTAAAACAAATATTTATAAGTTATTCAGTAAATAGAGTTGCTGTTTGTTTATATAATCTGTTGTGAAGAAAAACACTGTTTGACTGAAATGGTGGCCATTTTGAAATCCATGATTGCTGCCTCAAAAATTCATGGAAAAACAGGCAGCATGATTTTTCTTGATCATTGATGTTGCCTTGTTGGCAACTAAACTTTAACTAAACTAAACTACCTAAACTTTTCTCATTTCCTTTATTTATGACATTGACCCATATACTTATTTGTTTAAATATTTGTTCGTTTGTATATTTGTTGTTTAACCTTGCACTCAGCCCTATTCCAGCTATGTGACAGCAGTCTGTAAATAATCAAATCTGGACAAGGCGATTCAGTGATTGACATCATGAGCATCGATCCACACAATTGGGATACGATGACATGCATCAACCAAGTCCGTGAGCCTGACCACCCGATCCCGTTAGTTGCCTCTTATGACAAGTATAGTCACCTTTTACGGCAAGCATGGGTTGCTGAAGTCCTATTAAACTAAATAACAGTTGAACCTGTGGTGTGACCATGGCAACAGTGTTGTTTGTGTTACAGTTCAACCTGGGGTGTTACCATGGTGACAATGTTGTTTGTGTTACAGTTCAACCTGGGGTGTAACCATGGTAACAGTGTTGTTTGTGTTACAGTTCACCATCGAGGATGAGGAGTGTAAGGGGGACTACTACCTGCAGACTCAGCAGCTGCAGGCTGCTCAGGCCACCTCCCACATCGACCACATGTGCTGCCTCGACATCGACTCCGAGCCCCACATGGTCAGGAAGTCCGGCATCATCTGTACTATCGGTGAGTCTGTCTGATTGATTGTCTGTCTGTCTGTCAAAATGAAAAACGCGTAAGGGGATGCGTGTATGTTGGTTTTCTTGCGTCCTATCTTTTTTCAGTGCATATTTTTGTATATGGGACGCTGTGAATGCAAACACTGCATGTGTGTGTGTGCGCAAGTGTCTGTATGTCTTCATATCCAAACGTGTGTGCAAGTGTCTGTATGTCTTTATATCCAAATATGTGTGCAAGTGTCTGTATGTCTTTATATCCAAATGTGTGTGCAAGTGTCTGTATGTCTTTATATCCAAACCTTGTGTGCAAGTGTCTGTATGTCTTTATATCCAAATGTGTGTGCAAGTGTCTGTATGTCTTCATATCCAAACGTGTGTGCAAGTGTCTGTATGTCTTTATATCCAAATGTGTGTGCAAGTGTCTGTATGTCTTTATATCCAAATGTGTGTGCAAGTGTCTGTATGTCTTTATATCCAAATGTGTGTGCAAGTGTCTGTATGTCTTTATATCCAAACGTGTGCAAGTGTCTGTATGTCTTCATATCCAAACGTGTGTGCAAGTGTCTGTATGTCTTTATATCCAAATGTGTGTGCAAGTGTCTGTATGTCTTTATATCCAAATGTGTGTGCAAGTGTCTGTATGTCTTTATATCCAAATGTGTGTGCAAGTGTCTGTATGTCTTTATATCCAAACGTGTGCAAGTGTCTGTATGTCTTCATATCCAAACGTGTGTGCAAGTGTCTGTATGTCTTTATATCCAAACGTGTGTGCAAGTGTCTGTATGTCTTTATATCCAAATGTGTGTGCAAGTGTCTGTATGTCTTTATATCCAAATGTGTGTGCAAGTGTCTGTATGTCTTTATATCCAAACGTGTGTGCAAGTGTCTGTATGTCTTTATATCCAAACGTGTGTGCAAGTGTCTGTATGTCTTTATATCCAAACGTGTGTGCAAGTGTCTGTATGTCTTTATATCCAAATGTGTGTGCAAGTGTCTGTATGTCTTTATATCCAAACGTGTGTGCAAGTGTCTGTATGTCTTTATATCCAAACGTGTGTGCAAGTGTCTGTATGGCCATCCGTGTGTGTACAAGTGTCTGTATGTCTTTATATCCAAACGTGTGTGCAAGTGTCTGTATGGCCATCCGTGTGTGTACAAGTGTCTATGTCCACCCATGTGTGTGTACAAATGTCTATGTCCATCAATATGTTAATGCAAGTGTCTGTATGTCCATCCATGTGTCTGTACAAATGTCTATGTCCACCCATGTGTGTGTACAAATGTCTATGTCCATCCATATGTGTGTGCAAGTGTCTGTATGTCCATCCATGTGTGTGTACAAATGTCTGTCCACCCATGTGTGTGTGCAAGTGTCTGTATGTCCATCCATGTGTGTGTACAAATGTCTGTCCATCCATGTGTGTGTGCAAGTGTCTGTATGTCTGTATGTCTGTATATCCAACTATGTCACTGTGTGTGCAGAAGTTAGTCAGCCTGTGTGTTTCAGTCTGCCTGTCTCCTGTCTGCTTGTCTAACTCTCAGAGCTGTGTTATGTATCGCGACATGCACAACACCTGATCATGCTTCCCCCTACAAACAGTACAATGTGTGTTGTGTTGTAGGGCCTGCCTGTCTCCTGTCTGCTTGTCTAACTCTCAGAGCTGTGTTATGTATCGCGACATGCACAACACCTGATCATGCTTCCCCCTACAAACAGTACAATGTGTGTTGTGTTGTAGGGCCTGCCTGTCTCCTGTCTGCTTGTCTAACTCTCAGAGCTGTGTTATGTATCGCGACATGCACAACACCTGATCATGCTTCCCCCTACAAACAGTACAATGTGTGTTGTGTTGTAGGGCCTGCCTGTCTCCTGTCTGCTTGTCTAACTCTCAGAGCTGTGTTATGTATCGCGACATGCACAACACCTGATCATGCTTCCCCCTACAAACAGTACAATGTGTGTTGTGTTGTAGGGCCTGCCTGTCTCCTGTCTGCTTGTCTAACTCTCAGAGCTGTATTATGTATCGCGACATGCACAACACCTGATCATGCTTCCCCCTACAAACAGTACAATGTGTGTTGTGTTGTAGGGCCTACCTGTCTCCTGTCTGCTTGTCTAACTCTCAGAGCTGTGTTATGTATCGCGACATGCACAACACCTGATCTTGCTTCCCCGTACAAACAGTACAATGTGTGTTGTGTTGTAGGGCCTGTCTGCTTGTCTAACTCTCAGAGCTGTATTATGTATCGCGACATGCACAACACCTGATCATGCTTCCCCCTACAAACAGTACAATGTGTGTTGTGTTGTAGGGCCTGCCTGTCTCCTGTCTGCTTGTTTAACTCTCAGAGCTGTATTATGTATCGCGACATGCACAACACCTGATCATGCTTCCCCCTACAAACAGTACAATGTGTGTTGTGTTGTAGGGCCTACCTGTCTCCTGTCTGCTTGTCTAACTCTCAGAGCTGTATTATGTATCGCGACATGCACAACACCTGATCATGCCTCCCCCTACAAACAGTACAATGTGTGTTGTGTTGTAGGGCCTGCCTGTCTCCTGTCTGCTTGTCTAACTCTCAGAGCTGTATTATGTATCGCGACATGCACAACACCTGATCATGCCTCCCCCCTACAAACAGTACAATGTGTGTTGTGTTGTAGGGCCTGCCTGTCTCCTGTCTGCTTGTCTAACTCTCAGAGCTGTATTATGTATCGCGACATGCACAACACCTGATCATGCTTCCCCCTACAAACAGTACAATGTGTGTTGTGTTGTAGGGCCTGCCTGTCTCCTGTCTGCTTGTCTAACTCTCAGAGCTGTATTATGTATAGCGACATGCACAACACCTGATCATGCTTCCCCCTACAAACAGTACAATGTGTGTTGTGTTGTAGGGCCTGCCTGTCTCCTGTCTGCTTGTCTAACTCTCAGAGCTGTGTTATGTATCGCGACATGCACAACACCTGATCATGCTTCCCCCTACAAACAGTACAATGTGTGTTGTAGGGCCTGCCTGTCTCTGTCTGCTTGTCTAACTCTCAGAGCTGTGTTATGTATCGCGACATGCACAACACCTGATCATGCTTCCCCCCTACAAACAGTACAATGTGTGTTGTAGGGCCTGCCTGTCGTGAGGTGGATACGCTTCAGAAGATGATGAACGAAGGAATGAATATCGCCCGCCTCAACTTCTCACATGGAACCCATGAAGTATGTAAGATTGTGATACGTATTCATTAGTAATAGTATTTCATTAAAGAATTGACTTTCACTTTGTGAGATTTCATTGGAGTATGAACCTTCATAGAGTGAGGGCCAAACTGTATGAACGTAGGAGCTTGCGATCTAAATAAGGGTGAAACGATACACCGATATTCCGATGCATCACAATACTTGACCCACGATAAGATATACGATAAACATGGGCCCATTTTGATACGCCACAATACGGAACGCAAATCTCAAGTACAGCGTTTCCTCGGTATTGTGCCTTTTAATAAACCGCTAACTTGGTTATAGCGTGCGCTAACGCATGGCTCCCAAAAACGTACTTACATTTTTAATAAGCTCAGGTTTTACACCGACAAATGTTTTTCCCCATCTCATAAAACATTATCAGCTGATCCCCGCAAGCACATAACACCGAAAATACCAGTTAGCAAATCCGAACTGAAGTACGCAATTCAATACCATTATTATACTATCTTGTTATTAAAACGTATTATTTGTATATCTGGACTTGTGTTTGTAATCTATGTTATTAATTTTATTCAAAATTTCATTTAATATTGTTTTCATTAAGTTTTGAGAAATCGTGTGTGAAGAGATACAGCAACCACGGTCAGATTACAGCTTTTGACGCATTGAAACAAACTTTAGTTACTAGAGAATGGATACATATATTAAAAATACCATACTTTGACTCGTTAAAAGTCATATTTGTGGCAATTTGGCTAATATATGTCAACATAACGTTATCGCAATCAAATACATGTAGCACGGGAAGTCCCTAGGGTGACTGGTCAAATTGTTCCACACATAAAAATATCCTGCAATCACCAGTACCAAAATGCTACACTTGTGGTTCTTATAATTATAAATATATAATTATATAGTAAAAGCTGCAACTAAGGTAACACGATATTGGAATAAATTATTCCTGATAAAACAATAATTTCAGATACAATTTCTTCGACCATTGGTGGAGTACAATGATTATTTTCTGGTGTCTGAACTTTGAACTGTTTTGAAGGAAAGTTGAACAACTTCAGTAGTCTTGTTATTATAAAATAATTTTGACTGTTCCAAAATCATGAAAGGTTCAATCTTGACATGCTTTAAGTCTTGTTTTTTTTTTATCATTGCGTATCGAGATACGTATCGTATCGTGACCAGAATATCGAGATGCGTATCGTATCTTGACCTTCCTGTATCGTTGCAGCCCTAGATCTAAACACAATTACATTTAGTACGTGTGACTTCGTGTTTACACTGACAGCCATACAACAACCAGCTATATCGCGGAATAAAATAGTTCCTCAAAAAGAGAGGTGACATGAGCGTATGGATGCATAACTTGCTCTTCAGAAACATCTTACACAACACATGTGTTCAAGTAATATTACCATTAGATGAGAAAGGTTTGTAAAGAACTGCCTCAGTAAGTCAGTCAAAATCATAACGCGTCGTACTACATTTACATCAAATACAAGACGTCAAAATGACCGACACGATAAACGTGACGGGAGAGATTTCCGAAGTTGTTAATGTGTTAGGCATCATTGATCAACTGGCCGATCATTGAAAGGTGATTAAAGATGCGTCAAACAGACACTAAGGTAAATTCAGAGATTGCTGGAGACGGTCACTGTCAGTCTAGGCACAGATCGAGTCGATACTATGATAGTTTGGATGTGCGTTTCTTCGTTTGTTCATTAGGATGGGCCGTAGCGAGGATATTCCTGAACAATCATGCAGTCACGCATGAAACGCTGAGACCAAGATTAAAGGTTCTAAAAGATCAGAAAGAACGCTTATGTATGTTTTCGTGCTAGGGAATTCCCAGGGGTTTCCCCAGGAATGTGGAAGTAGTCCGTCAGTGTTTACATCATTTCAAGAACAAAGTCTCGTGAAAAACGTATGAATGTCAAAATGTGTCATTCATACACTTATGAACGTCAATATCGCGGTCATGTTACCGACCTCTCGTCCATTGGAAAAGCTGTATATCGTGTAAACTTCAAATTAAAAAATTATATCGTGTTATACCGGTATACCAGGTATACTGCTCATCTCCATGTTTAGCACTTTCCTGCGCTAAATATGATTGGACTTTTGCACATATCGATTGTCCAATCAGAGAACTTTTCCCAAAATCAACATCCAGGCTCCGAAATCATGGCTGCTGACCTAGCTAGTTGAATTTACACTGAACTTTTTTCTACCATGAAGCAAAAGCCAAGTATTTTCTAAGTCTTTCCAAGTTTTAAATCAGGTCGCCCAAGTACTGCGCTTTTTAAGCGGTATTTAAAGTATGAGAGTCGCTTTGTGGAACGGGGCCCTGGGCTTGACAAATACGCTGGCCAACTTGACAACTAGACTTTGTGCCTAGACATTTCTTCTGTGTTCTACTGGCACAGTGGCTAGTGCATTTATAGGAATCATGAACCCATATTTCCTTGCGCTGTGTGTTCGCGAAAAAGATTGTGTAACAATTGACTGTGATACAGATACAGTGTTTGACTGCAGATACAGTTTTCTACATAGTAAAGTCAGTGTTACGTTTTCAGTTGTCGCCATTTTGAAACCATGGATACAGGGGAGATAACAATGTGAGAGAAAAATCACTTCTGCATTTCTGCCGTTTTGTCAATCAATTCTGAAGGAAAAGTCATTTGTAAAATAATGTCTGTGTACACTTTAGGTTAAACAATACAAATAATAACAAGACTTGTTGCAAAATATTTTACCCAATTCACCAGAACAGAAATAATATTGCAATAAGTTTCGTTTGAAAAATGTGTTGCTATATACCTGTATGACGGTAATACCATCAGCCCCCTAATATTTCCTGCATCAGATGTCGGACATCCAATAGACGCTGGCTTCCATTTGACTGCATATGTGCATTGCGTATACAGGAACTGTTTTGCCATGAAAATGCGCAAAAACACTTAATCTTGCACTTTGTAACTTAAAGGAAGATTTATTCTAACTCACTCACCCACTCGCACACTCACCATGCTCACTCACTCACTCACTCACCCACACACCCCTCACTCACCCACAGGCTCACCCACTCACTCACACGCCCTCTCACTCACTCACTTACTCACTCACTCACTCACTCACTCACTCACTCACTCACTCACTCACTCACTCACTCACCCACCCACCCACTCACTCACTCACTCACTCACCCACCCACTCACTCAGTCACCCACTCACTCACCCACACACCCCTCACTCACTCACACGCCCTCTCACTCACTCACTCACTCACTCACTCACCCACTCACCCACCCACCCACCCACGCACTCACTCACTCACTCACTCACTCACCCACACACCCCTCACTCACCCACACGCTCACCCACTCTCTCACACGCCCTCTCACTCACTCACTCACTCACTCTGTGTTTCAGTATCACGAGGGCACCATCGAGAACGTAAGACAGGCCGCCAGTAGTTTCTCCCAAGCTCGTCCCATCGCCATCGCTCTGGACACCAAGGGGCCCGAGATCCGGACAGGTCTTATCAAGGGGGTGAGTTCTCTATAAGTACATCAGGTAGGGCCTCAAGGGGTGAGTTCTGTATAATTAAAACCGGGCAGGCCTCAAGGGGTGAGTTCTGTATAAGTACACCAGGACAGGCCTCAAGGGGTGAGTTCTGTATAAGTACATAAGGACAGACCTTAAGGGGTGAGTTCTGTATAATTAAAACCGAGCAGACCTCAAGCGGTGAGTTCTGTATAAGTACACCAGGACAGGCCTCAAGCGGTGAGTTCTGTATAAGTACAGCAGGACAGGTCTTATCAAGGGGTGAGTTCTATATAAGTACATCAGGACAGGCCTCAAGCGGTGAGTTCTGTATAAGTACATCAGGACAGGCCTCAAGGGGTGAGTTCTGTATAAGTACACCAGGACAGGCCTCAAGGGGTGAGTTCTGTATAAGTACACCAGGACAGGCCTCAAGGGGTGAGTTCTGTATAATTAAAACCGGACAGGCCTCAAGCAGTGAGTTCTGTATAAGTACACCAGGACAGGCCTCAAGTGGTGAGTTCTGTACAAGTACACCAGGACAGGCCTCAAGGGTTGAGTTCTGTATAATTAAAACCGGACAGGCCTCAAGGGGTGAGTTCTGTATAAGTACACCAGGACAGGCCTCAGGGGGTGAGTTCTGTATAAGTACACCAGGACAGGCCTCAAGCGGTGAGTTCTGTATAAGTACACCAGGACAGGCCTCAAGGGGTGAGTTCTGTATAAGTACACCAGGACAGGTCTTATCAAGGGGTGAGTTCTGTATAAGTACACCAGGACAGGTCTTATCAAGGGGTGAGTTCTTTATAAGTACACCAGGACAGGCCTCAAGGGGTGAGTTCTGTATAAGTATAATTCTGACTCACTCACTGTGTCTAATGCAGGGGATTTAGCTGTGTCAAGTGTCAGTACAAATTCACAAATCATGTTGAAGTTATAACCAATGATATCCAATGTTTTGTCTTTGTATACCCGTGAAGATCCATGGTAGAATAGGTCTTCAGCAACCAATGCTTGCCGTAAGAGGGGACTGTGCTTGTCGTAAGAGGGGACTAACAGGATCGGATGGTCAGGCTCGCTGACTTGGTTGATGCATGTCATCGTATCCCATTTGTGTGGATTGATGCTCATGATGTCAATCACTGGATTGTCTGGTCAAGACTTGATTATTTACATATGGTTGTAATATTGCTGAGTGCAGCGAACTAACAAACAAACAAACAAGTTATGGTTGGTTGGTTGGTTGGTTGTTTAACGCCACGTTCAGCAATATTCCAGCTATATGACGGCGGTCTGTAAATAATCGAGTCTGGACCAGACAATCCAGTGATGAATATCATGAGCATCGATCCACGCAATTGGGATCGATGACATGCATTAACCAAGTCAGCGAGCCTGACCACCCAATCCCGTTATTCGCCTTTTACGACAAGCATAGTCACCTTTTACGGCAAGCATGGGTTGCTGAAGACCTATTCTACCCCGGACCTTCACGGGTCCACAACTGCATTCAATGCAATTTGAAAATACCTCCTAATTTGAGAAAAAAGGAAATTTAAGAAAATGAGGTTTTCCTGCCAAGGACACTAAGTTTGGAGTCGTAGATCTATCCCTATATGTTCCAGGACCCATCTGCAGAGGTTGCTCTGAAGACCGGCAACACAATCAGACTGACAACCGACCCCCAGTTCTACGAACAGTGCTCCGAGGAGAGACTCTACCTTGACTACGTCAACATCACCAAGGTCATGAAGGTCGGGGAGAGAGTCTACATCGACGATGGCCTCATCTCTGTCGTGGTCAAAGAAATCGGTGAGATGTAGCTGTGTGTGAAAGTAGGGTCGAGTGTTGATGGGTCTTACGGCCTTTGAAACTTTCTCTAGCCCACTGGCTTGAGGCTGCTAAATTGTGCTGAAGACAAGTGATTATCGTCCTCATTGACCGTTAGTGTTTAAAGGGGAAGTGTACACGCAAAAATCACTTTCTTTCTTTTTCTAAACAAAACGCAATTTTAGAATTAATTAGTATCTGTGTTTGAAAATATACACTCATTTTTTTCACAGTGAACGTAGGAAGCTCACAATAGTGTGAAAATGATATGCCGTTATGAGGCCTTCGTTTTTCGAGCTAAACAGGCCTGAGTTATCCCCCTTAGATTATGACGTAATTGGTGCCAATTCAACTGGGTCCCTGTCTATTCTCAACGCAAAAGATATCAAGTACCAGTTTGCGGTAAAACAACATGGCCTACGACACACTCCGGCGCAGTGGTGACTCAGCATAACACTATGCTGGCTGGCATCTGAGACGCTAGAATCACACACCTGGACCTACACCACGTGAAGCGGCTCTAACAAAGCATGATGACGTCATAATGTTTATCAATTGGCACCAATGACGTCATATTACAAGGGGCATAAGCCATGGTGTTTTTGTTGAGGAAATAGAACACTTGGTAAATGTGAAAAATATAAATCGTTTTAATGCGAAAAATATGTTAATTAATTGTGATATTTTTATATTTTTGTCTATGACACTTCTATGTTAACACTTTTAATGTGGAAAAAGTACAAGAAAAATAGGTTCATTTCCGTGTGAACTTGCCCTTTAAGGACTGTAAGGGGTGGTCAGGTAGCCTAGTGGTTAAAGCGTTCGCTCATCACGCCGAAGACCCGGGTTCGATTCCCGACGTGGGTACAATGTGTGAAGCCCATTTCCGGTGTCCCCCCGCCGTAATATTGCTGGAATATTGCTAAAAGCGGCGTAAAATACTCACTCATTAAGGACTGTAATTCTGAACCCGTTCTCAGTGGTTCAATTTTGCTTCAAAACTGAAAATGTGCACTTAATCAGGGATGCATCTAGACCTGCTCAGAACCCTGCTACTTGGCCCTAAGTCTGCAGCAAATAACAGTAAAAATTCCCAATTTGAATTTAGAAAATTCCCAACTCCTCAGAATTTATGATTATATTTATGGATTATATATATGAATAGTAAAGATACAATTTTGAACAAAATCACACTATTTTCTCCCAATTTGTCTGCACGGCACTTACTGACGAAGTTTAGAATCCTCGATCAATCCCTCATAGATAGCATGAAGTCTCGTTTAAGCCCTGAAAACTAGTGAAATAAAGTTTCCACTGGTCCTAATAAAATGAATTTCTAATTTCTTTATGATGACTTGGAGTGTGGGAAGCAGATGTGTGCAGTAGTACTTGGTATAATGCTATAACACGATTTGAGAAACTGATCAATTCCATTTTACCGGTATGTGCGTTTTTCAAAATGATGCATATTTCATCATGTTGGTAAAGTTGACATAAGTGACAAGTAGAATAGAATTTTTTATCGAAAAAGCAAAACTATTCACAACTGGTCAGCTTCCTGTATATAATTGTTGCGTAGAGTGACGAAACAAAATGGCAGACAACTACGAAGGTGTCAAGTTGTGCCATTATTTAGGGTTTTGCTATATGTTATTATTATAAGGACAAGTGGTCAAAAACTGTTAGTTTCTATCGCTGTGCAATTTGTTGTAAGTATCACAATACAGGAATCATTGTTGCAGTAAATTGCAATACCAAAGTCAGGCCAGTTATCACCAATGTTTTGTTTCAACAAAGATCTATAAGGTACAAAGTATGGCATATATTATAAATGTATCCATTCTCTTGCAACTAAGGGGACACGGGGGCCCAGTCGTCTAAAGCGCTGCGATTCACTGTGCAGAGTTGCATCCCTTGGGCACGCCAGAAACCTATGATTGTGGATGCGAATCCCTGTTCGGGTGGTCAGGCTAGCTGACTTGGTTGATGCATGTCATCGGTCCCAATTGCGTGGATTGATGCTCATGATATCAATCACTGGCTTGTCTGGTCCAGACTCGATTATTTACAGACCGCCGTCATATAGCTGGAATATTGCTGAGTGCGGTGTTAAACAACAAACCAAACCAAGCAGTGGTAAACGTCTGAGACCTGCATCACTTCGAGCTTTCCTCCAACATTAAGCTGATACCGCCGTGTTACAACTGGAATACTGTTAAAAGTGGCATTAAACCCAACTCACTCACTCACTCACTCACTCACTCACTCACTCACTCACTCACTCACTCACTCACTCACTCAGAGCGTGTAGAGTAGGAGACGACTAACGGGATCGGGTGGTCATGCTCGCTGACCTTGTTGAAGCTGGAATATTGCTGAGTGCAGCGTTAAACAACAAACAAACAAACAAACAAACCAACACAGCGTGTAGGTTGAACACTGGTGAACACTGGTTACATTGCAGGTGTGGATTATCTGGACTGTGAGATCGAGAATGGAGGAGACCTAGGATCTAAGAAGGGCTGTAATCTCCCTGGAGTGGCAGTCGACCTCCCAGCTGTGTCTGAGAAGGATAAAGAAGATCTGCTTTTTGGTGTAAAACATAAGGTAGGTTTGTGATATCTTTGATTCTCATTGTACTGTGATGTGATACCATTTATCGCTGTGTATAAGGCGATCCCACGTATACGACGACCCCCGTGTACACGCCTTAAAAATCAACCCCAAATCCTATACTCCGTGTATAAGGCGACCTGGAATGAAGCACATCACAAGTGCGCACACAAGACTTATATATGCAATAAAAATATGTTTATCTTGCGTTGTTTTTTCTACGATGATTGGTCGCGTGTGTAACACAAGCGCATGTGTTGATTATGTTTCTAGGTTTGTCAGCACCATACCCGAAGTGGTAAACGTCTGAGACCTGCATCACTTCGGGCTTTCCTCCCACATTAAGCTGACACGCCGCGATATAACTGGAATACTGTTAAAAGCGGCGTTAAACCCAACTCACTCACTCACTCACTCACTCACTCACTCACTCCCCCACTCCCCCAAAAGATTGTGGAATTAAAAAAGGACTTTAAAAAACAGACGGTTGTCATCCAATCAGATTGCAACACTGAATCCCCTTCGTTTCACAGATAAACGATTACTGTCATGGTTGTGTGTTGCTAGGTCGACATGGTGTTTGCCTCCTTCATCCGAAGTGGTGAAGGCATCAAGGAGATCAGAAGCATCCTCGGAGAGGAAGGCAAGAACATCCGCATCATTGCCAAGATTGAAAACCATGAGGGAGTCAAAAGGTAAAAATACAAACTTTCTTTAGACCCGTGAAGATCTGGGGTAGAATAGGTCTTCACCAACCCATGCTTGCCGTAACAGGTGACTATGCTTGTCTTAAGAGGCGACTAACGGGATCGGGTGGTCGGGCTCGCTGACTTGGTTGATGCATGTCATCGATCCCAGTTGCGTGGACCGATGCTCATGATGTCAATCACTAGATTGTCTGGTCCAGACTCGATTACTTACAGACCGCCGTCATACAGCTGGAATATTGCTGATTGCAGCGTTAAACAACAAACAAACAAACACTCCCCAATTACCACTGGGATAAAGCTGTTTTGCAACAGTGGCAACAAACAAACATACAAAATTTCTTTCCACTCTTTCCCAAAGGTGTTGAATTCAACTAAAGGCCCTTAGAAGTTTGGAGCATTATGATTCCCTGTGCATGAGGAAGCAGTTGGTCACAAACACCTGCAAAGTTGCTGATGCGACATAAAGCATTGTTATACCTCTATTAAGAATCTCGCGATTCCATTGGTTAATTCGTACCACGTGATGAAACAGTATATTTCGATGTAGATCCCCCAAATCACTTGACTGACACAGACCTCGAACATTGACTCTTCACATTATCTGTATAGACCTGTCATGTGATGAATATTGACTCATCTGCTAGAAAACAAGATGGCGTCTGGTACGAACATTTTACAGTTCGTAGATAAGTTGCTTTTACAAAACAGATGACTGTTTTAGACTTCATAAACTTTAAAGCGAGTTTTGGGATAACAAAACAAGTGATTACTCTTGATGAGGTAAATATGCAAAAGCAAGGAACCTCGGACTTGAACCCATCAGCGTTCTTACCGGACCAAGGCCGAAGTCCACCTTGGGTCCTTGTTCTTGCATATTGACCTTGTCAAAAGTAATTATTTGTATAGTATTCACTGGCTCCTGTAACCATGGTAACTGGGTGATGCCTGGTCACATGGGATTGTTAATTTCTTAACCGCTGTTTTGGGGGGTATGACGGTGGTGATGTCCAAACACAATTTTTTTTCATCTTTTCACCACTATTTGTTTGTATCCAGGTACTGATCCGTCGAATGTGCTTGAATACACAGTGCTGATGGGTCGACCACTATTGGCTTATTCTTAGCTATAGTCGACCAATCAGGATGACACTATTACAAGTGGCTATACATTAATTGACTGACTTTGTCTGCAGGTTCGATGAGATCTTGCAGGAGGTCGATGGCGTGATGGTTGCCCGTGGCGACCTGGGTATTGAGATTCCAGCAGAGAAAGTATTCTTGGCCCAGAAGATGATGATTGGCCGTTGTAACCGGGCTGGGAAACCTGTCATCTGTGCTACTCAGGTAAGATCGGTTGGTTAGTTGGTTGGTTGGTTGGGCTGGGAAACTTGTCATCTGTGCTACTCAGGTAAGATCGGTTGGTTAGTTGGTTGGTTGGTTGGGCTGGGAAACTTGTCATCTGTGCTACTCAGGTAAGATCGGTTGGTTGGTTGGTTGGTTGGGCTGGGAAACCTGTCATCTGTGCTACTCAGGTAAGATCAGTTGGTTGGTTGGTTGGTTGGGCTTGGAAACCTGTCATCTGTGCTACTCAGGTAAGATCAGTTGGTTGGTTGGTTGGTTGGGCTGGGAAACCCGTCATCTGTGCTACTCACGTATGATCAGTTGGTTGGTTGGTTGGTTGGTTGGGCTGGGAAACCTGTCATCTGTGCTACTCAGGTATGATCGGTTGGTTGGGCTGGGAAACCTGTCATCTGTGCTACTCAGGTATGATCGGTTGGTTGGTTGGTTGGTTGGTTGGGCTTGGAAACCTGTCATCTGTGCTACTCAGGTAAGAGCGGTTGGTTGGTTGGTTGGTTGGTTGGGCTTGGAAACCTGTCATCTGTGCTACTCTGGTAAGAGTGGTTGGTTGGTTGGTTGGGCGGGCTGGGAAACCTGTCATCTGTGCTACTCAGGTATGATCGGTTGGTTGGTTGGTTGGTTGGTTGGTTGGGCTTGGAAACCTGTCATCTGTGCTACTCAGGTAAGAGCGGTTGGTTGGTTGGTTGGGCTGGGAAACCTGTCATCTGTGCTACTCAGGTAAGATCGGTTGGTTGGTTGGTTGGTTGGTTGGGCTTGGAAACCTGTCATCTGTGCTACTCAGGTATGATCGGTTGGTTGGTGCACTCAGCAATGCTCCAGCTTTGTGACTGCGGTCTGTAAATAACCAAGTCTGGATCAGTGATTGACATCATGAGCATCGATCCACGAAATTGGGATACAATGACATGCATCAACCAAGTCATATAGCTGGAATATTGCTGAGTGCGGCGTTAAACAACAAACAGAGATGTCTGATTGTGTTGACAGATGTTGGAGAGTATGACTGTGTTAACAGATGATGTAGGTGTCTGATTGTGTTGACAGGTGTTGGATCTTTTTATTTGTGCTGACAGATGTTGGAGCTATCTTATTGTGCTGACAGATGTTGGAGATGTCAGATTGTGTTGACAGATATTGGAGATGTCAGATTGTGTTGACAGATATTGGAGATGTCAGATTGTGTTAACAGATATTGGAGATGTCAGATTGTGTTAACAGATATTGGAAATGTCAGATTGTGTTGATATATATTGGAGATGTCAGATTGTGTTGACATATATTGGAGATGTCAGATTGTGTTGACAGATATTGGAGATGTCAGATTGTGTTGACAGATATTGGAGATGTCAGATTGTGTTAAGAGATGTTTGAGATGTCAGATTGTGTTAACATATATTGGAGATGTCAGAATGTGTTGACAGATATTGGAGATGTCAGATTGTGTTGACAGATGTTGGAGATGTCAGATTGTGTTAACAGATATTGGAGATGTCAGATTGTGTTAACAGATGTTGGAGATCTCAGATTGTGTTAACAGATGTTGGAGACGTCGGATTGTGTTGACAGGTGTTGGAGATGTCGGATTGTGTTAACAGATGTCGGAGATGTCGGATTGTGTTGACAGATGTTGGAGATATCGGATTGTGTTGACAGGTGTTGGAGATGTCGGATTGTGTTAACAGATGTCGGAGATGTCGGATTGTGTTGACAGATGTTGGAGATGTCGGATTGTGTTGACAGGTGTTGGAGATGTCAGATTGTGTTGACATATATTGGAGATGATAGATTGTGTTAACAGATATTGGAGATGTCAGAATGTGTTGACAGATATTGGAGATGTCAGATTGTGTTGACAGATGTTGGAGATGTCAGATTGTGTTAACAGATATTGGAGATGTCAGATTGTGTTAACAGATGTTGGAGATGTCGGATTGTGTTGACAGGTGTTGGAGATGTCGGATTGTGTTGACAGATGTTGGAGATGTCGGATTGTGTTAACAGATGTCGGAGATGTCGGATTGTGTTGACAGATGTTGGAGATGTCGGATTGTGTTGACAGGTGTTGGAGATGTCGGATTGTGTTGACAGGTGTTGGAGATGTCGGATTGTGTTGACAGGTGTTGGAGATGTCGGATTGTGTTGACAGATGTTGGAGATGTCGGATTGTGTTAACAGATGTTGGAGATGTCAGATTGTGTTGACATATATTGGAGATGTCAGATTGTGTTAACAGATATTGGAGATGTCAGATTGTGTTAACAGATGTTGGAGAGCATGGTGAAGAAACCCCGTCCCACCCGTGCAGAGACAAGTGACGTCGCCAACGCCGTCCTGGATGGTGCCGATTGTGTGATGTTGTCCGGAGAAACAGCCAAGGGAACCTACCCCCTTGAGTCAGTCAAAATGATGCACCATGTGAGTACTAATTTTTATTTAAAAAATATAATCATCTTGGTTCTCAGGCACCGCACCGCCTGCATCATTATAAAGTCTGCCTCACGTTTAATTTTTATTTCCATCTTCCAAAAGAATACAAAAATCCAATACATAAAAACAATGCGATCAAATAGAGCATGCCATTACTTCCCTTTACATGCACACTGCTTTACTGTGGCGCGGTCGGGTAGCCTAGTGGTTAAAGCGTTCGCTCGTCACGCCGAAGACCCGGGTTCGATTCCCGACATGGGTACAATGTGTGAGGCCCATTTCAGGTGACCCCCGTCGTGATATTGCTGGAATATTGCTGAAAGCGGCGTAAAACCATACTCACTCACTCACTGCTTTACTGCACATCTTGTGTTATGGTAATGGCGGCAATAGGAGTTTGTATGCTTGTTATACCCCCGTTTATTAAGTAAATCAGGGGTATATTGCGTTCCTTCCGTCCGTCCGTCTGTCCGTCCTTCAGTCCGAGCTTTTGTATGGCCCATAACTTTTTAACCATGCACCCTAGCTTCACCAAACTTGCTACACACATTTACCACAATGAGTACTTGTGCCTTTTGCTAGTTTGAAGATTCTGAACTTTTTAATTTTTGCCGTTTCCATAGAATCATCGTGAAACATAAATTTTGGGTAGAGTTTTTGTACGATCCATGTTTACATTATTATGTATCCTATAGCTTCAGCAAACTTGCTACATTAACCACTATGATTGTTTTTATCTTTTATAAGATTCTGAAAGTTTTCTCTTTTGCTGTTTTCATGGAAACATGATGGAATTTAGAAATTTTGATGACTGGTTTTGTATAGCTAATATATTTTCCAAAATTGTTTCCACTCATGTAGATCATCATAAGTATCTGTGCTTTGTGTTAGATTGAATTTATGAATTCTTAACCATATCTGTTAAGGCTAGATGAAAATTATTAATTTATTGATTTTCTAATATGATAATGTTCCATTTTTTATGTGTTTTTATATCAACAATTTTTGGTCCTTTTGATAATTCTTCTTATGTAACTCCTCAATCAAATTTTTATTCAAAGGTGTTCATGGTGATCACCTTCCTCATAGTGAACACTGGTAACATGGGAGATTTGTGGGGGGGTCAATTGTCACTGGAACTCAATCTTAGTTTTTAAAACATTGAAGTTAAAATCAGTTAGGAATATGTAATATTTCATTAAGTAACAAACTATTTACTATTTGTTGTTGACCAGCAGGGATAACGGGGGTATGTGAGCTTTGCTCACTTCTTTCTTGTTTGTGTAGGGAGGCCCTTTCCCAGGTTGATGGTACACAACTGTTATTTGGTTACTAGTACATACTAGTTTGAACACACTATATTTTCAAAAGTCATTGCCATTGCAGAGAACCAATTCTTATATTTTTTTAAGCCTTAAACAAGCTTGAACAGATCTCATACAGACAGGTCACACATGTTGCTGTGGCACGTTTCTCAAACATCTAACTGAAAGAAGCTGATGTGATTCTGAATCTACTTCTCTCAAAAAAATATAGTCTTGGTTTTTTTAAGCCTTAAGTAATGAAATGGTGTAGTCTTTGGAGAATACCAATGCACCAAACTATCAATGTATTGCAGTTTGTTACCTATGATAGCACTGTATAGTACTCCAGATTAGAGTTACTTCCCTTTGGTTTAAGTGGGAACAGGCTGACTGTGAGACTGTCGACAATACTTTATTCATTTGGGGGCACGGGTGGCCCAGTAATCTAAAGTGCCGCGATTCGCTGTGCAGAGTTGCGTCCCTTGGGCACGCCAGAAACCTATGATTGTGGGTTCGAATCCCGGTTTGCCCCGATTATGTTTCTAGGTTTGTCAGCACCATACCCGTGCTCGTGGGTTTCACCGAACATAACATAAATTATTTGACATGGTTTGTTAATTATTAATATATTATACATTTATATACTGCACTTATCCAGGAACTAGTACCTGCACAAATGCAACAATGACAGTGACCACAATACTGTCAAATTAAATATTATGAGAGTGTTGTCTTTTGAAGACATCTTTGCATATAATATGTTGTTATGGATATTTTTAGGTACAGGGTATGTAAATGCACATGACCTGCTACTATTACCTATCACCTGCTACTGTTACCTATCACCTGCTACTGTTACCTATCACCTGCTACTATTACCTATCACCTGCTACTATTACCTAGCACCTGCTACTATTACCTAGCACCTGCTACTATTACCTAGTACCTGCTACTCTTACCTATCATCTGCTACTCTTACCTATCACCTGCTACTGTCACCTATCACCTGCTACTGTCACCTATCACCTGCTCCTATTACCTATCACCTGCTACTATTACCTATCACCTGCTACTATTACCTAGCACCTGCTACTGTTACCTAGTACCTGCTACTGTTACCTATCACCTGCTACTGTTACCTAGCACCTGCTACTGTTACCTAGCACCTGCTACTGTTACCTATCACCTGCTACTATTACCTAGCACCTGCTACTATTACCTAGTACCTGCTACTGTTACCTATCATCTGCTACTGTCACCTATCACCTGCTACTGTTACCTATCACCTGCTCCTATTACCTATCACCTGCTACTATTACCTATCACCTGCTACTATTACCTAGCACCTGCTACTGTTACCTAGCACCTGCTACTGTTACCTAGCACCTGCTACTGTTACCTAGCACCTGCTACTGTTACCTATCACCTGCTACTATTACCTAGCACCTGCTACTGTCACCTATCACCTGCTACTATTACCTATTACCTGCTACTGTTACCTATCACCTGCTACTGTTACCTATCACCTGCTACTATTACCTATCACCTGCTACTATTACCTAGCACCTGCTACTATTACCTATCACCTGCTACTGTTACCTATCACCTGCTACTGTTACCTAGCACCTGCTTCCATTACCTATCACCTGCTACTGTTACCTATCACCTGCTACTATTACCTATTACCTATCACCTGCTACTATTACCTAGCACCTATCACCTGCTACTGTTACCTATCACCTGCTACTATTACCTATCACCTGCTACTATTACCTAGCACCTATCACCTGCTACTATTACCTAGCACCTGCTACTGCTACCTATCACCTGCTACTGTCACCTATCACCTGCTACTGTTACCTATCACCTGCTACTGTTACCTATCACCTGCTACTGTTAACTATCACCTGCTACTGTTACCTATCACCTGCTACTGTCACCTATCACCTGCTACTGTTACCTATCACCTGCTACTGTTACCTATCACCTGCTACTATTACCTATCACCTGCTACTGTTACCTATCACCTGCTACTATTACCTATTACCTATCACCTGCTACTATTACCTAGCACCTATCACCTGCTACTGTCACCTATCACCTGCTACTGTTACCTATCACCTGCTACTATTACCTATCATCTGCTACTATTACCTATCACCTGCTACTGTCACCAGTCACCTGCTACTGTTACCTAGCACCTGCAAATGTTACCTAGCACCTGCTACTGTTACCTAGCACCTGCTACTGTTACCTAGCACCTGCTACTATCACCTATCACCTGCTACTATTACCTATCACCTGCTACTATTACCTATCACCTGCTACTGTTACCTATCACCTGCTACTATTACCTATCACCTGCTACTGTTACCTAGCACCTGCTACTGTTACCTAGCACCTGCTACTATTACCTATCACCTGCTACTATTACCTGTCACCTGCTACTGTTACCTGTCACCTGCTACTATTACCTATCACCTGCTACTATTACCTGTCACCTGCTTCTATTACCTGTCACCTGCTTCTATTACCTATCACCTGCTACTGTTACCTGTCACCTGCTACTATTACCTAGCACCTGCTACTGTTACCTATTACCTGCTACTGTTACCTAGCACCTGCTACTGTTACCTAGCACCTGCTACTGTTACTTATCACCTGCTACTGTTACCTAGCATCTGCTACTATTACCTAGCACCTGCTACTGTTACCTAGCACCTGCTACTATTACCTATCACCTGCTACTGTCACCTATCACCTGCTACTGTTACCTAGCACCTGCTACTGTTACCTAGCACCTGCTACTATCACCTATCACCTGCTACTGTCACCTGTTGTAGATCTGCAGAGAAGCTGAGTCAGCTGTATTCCATAACCAGTTGTTTGAGGAACTCCGCAAGGAGACTCCCATCTTCACTGATGCTGCTCACACCATCGCCATCGCTGCTGTAGAGGCGTCCTTCTCAGCCATGGCAGCCGCCATCATCGTCATCACAACCTCGGGCAGGTGAGTTCATGCAGGACGCCCACCGACTTGAAAGTCCTTGAATTCAGATTCGGCCTTGAAAGTGGATAATGTGCAGCCTTGAAATAGCTTTGAGATTTGACGACTATCCAATGACTGAAAAACAGGTTTTTCCTGACCTGATGCTGCACAGTGCTATAGGTGTAGAGTCAGGTAAGTCTAAAAACATTGCATTTAATCAGAAATGCTCATAATCAGGTTACGTTCAGTGATATCAATCAAAATTGATCTGACATCCAGTAATTTTTTTCACCCCCCTCTAACATGCAACCAAATAAATGTCTGGACATTTAAAAAAAACTTTTTTTAAAAAGTGTGCTTATTTTCGTTCTGTTTTCCCCAGATCTGCCTACCTCGTGTCAGCCTACCGCCCCCGTTGCCCGATCCTGGCAATCACACGCAACGCTCAGACTGCACGACAGTGCCACCTGTACAGGGGCATCTTCCCCATCCACTACAGTGGTAAGTCAAGGGAGATAACCCATGCTACACTGTGGTACACCTCTATAAGTGTGACTCACCTGCAGTCACCCATCATTGCATGTACGTAGCACAAGTTTGGTGACATGTCTTGCAAGTGTTTCAGGATGTGATATTCACGAAATTCCATAAGTAAGTTAAAAAGTTGTTTCAACATTATGTTGATTATTAAGACTGAAAACTGTGGCAAGTTGAGCTGCAGCAAACTCGGACAGAGGAGGCTGAGCACACTAGTCCTGTCCCTTGTGACATACGTTTGCACATGAACTGAAGCCATCTTCATCTTCCTAAGTTTACAAGACAATATGAAAAAAAACCCACTGAAATTAGAAAAATAAATTACGTTTTATTTTTACGGGTGGGGGCGACTCTATTTTTTCAGTTAGGTGAAATGAAAAGATTTCATCACTAGTGTTATTAGGAAATGGAGAATAATATATAGAAACATCTTTATTTTAACCCCAAAACCCAAACTGGTAATTATTCAAAACTTGTTTGTTTTTAATTCATTCATACCAATCTGAAAGTTTGAATGCCAACATTGAATTTTAGGCTCAAATGTTGACAAATCAACCAACAAAATGTAAAAGGCCAGAGTTAGCTTTTCTTCCCTGTTTGCCTCCCTACACAGCACCTGCCTTGCGTCATACAATTTCCTCACGTACCTTGAGATGAAGAAGAGCCGTGCAATACTCACCATCTTTCTTAGCTTTGTGAAATAAACGCCATATACATAGTCCCTCCTAGCATCTAGCACAGCTATCAACAGTCAGTGTTCAAGGACCTGTGAAAATCGTGGGTAAGATTTGTCTTCAGTATCCCTGAACATGAAAATGATTCAGAAAATAAACTGAAACAACCAACTGTGCAAAGTGTATTGACGAGGTCAGTGGCAGAGTAACTTCAGAGGTATGCCTGTTTACATTTAAATCATGATTTTTACATCATCATCAGTGCAGTACATCCTTGATATAACTTCTGATTAATTGTTTCTTTCTTTCAAGGTTGTTGACGTTGTGTATGTGCAGGTTGAATGTTGTTAGAACACATTTGAAGTTAAGACACCTGGAACTCAACATAGATTTGTTTCAGTGGATTTGCCATGGCAGCTCAAGCTGAGAGGATACTAACTGGGTTTTGTTTCAGCTCATTGCGCCTTCACTCACTCCTAGCAGTGCCTTTATCTTTACTGTACAGATCCAACATCCAGATGTAACTGGACCTGGACCGTGGTTTAGTGGTAGAGTGTCCGCCCGGAGAGCGGAAGGTCCGGGGTTCGATCCCAGGCTGCGTGATACCCCAAATAACTTTAAAAGTTGGTACTTGTTGTTACCCTGTCTTGCGCTCGGCATTAAGGGGCTAAAACAAGGACTGGTTGGCTCAGAGTCAGTATACTGTGTCTGAGTTGGGTATTCATGTTAAACTGTGGCATGGTATCTCAGTGAGCTAGCACCATGAATCGGCATCAGTCCGGTCTAGTACAAGCAGGCACACTCACACACACACGTCACGTGCATGCACGTCACTATATTAGACTAACGTCTTGTCTCTGAAATGAACATATTTTACACAAAAAACAGTTGTTAAGTTATAGTTATAATTATAATATATTATAAAAAAGCAGCCCAGAGGCTTTCTTCATATTCCTGATACTGCAGTAATCTAGACTTGCCAAACATTATAGACTTGCATGGGCCTTATTGGATATATTTGTTTCAGGGTCTGTATGACAGACTAGTCGCCATATAAGTGCAATGATCATGGACGTGACATTAAACCCCATTTCACTTCATCCATCTCACCTCACCTCACCTCACCTCAGACTAGTCGCCATATAAGTGCAATGATCATGGACGTGACATTAAACCCCATTTCACTTCATCCATCTCACCTCACCTCACCTCACCTCAGACTAGTCGCCATATAAGTGCAATGATCATGGACGTGACATTAAACCCCATTTCACTTCATCCATCTCACCTCACCTCACCTCACCTCACCTCACCTCACCTCACCTCACCTCACCTCACCTCAGATACATTTGCATCTCTATGGAAGCCTTGGGAGAATGCGACATTTACATGTACAGTTATAAATTCGATATGACTGGTCCTGGGGACTAGCTGGAACATTTCACAAGTCAACGGATTTTGTTCTGGTTCTGTTTAAACGAGACAAAAATGTTTACTGTTTACATTTTATCACAGTCCCAGTTTGCATCAAAATTGAAGCACTGAGAGCTGGTTTAAAATTATAGTCCAGGGCCCACAACGATCTTAGCGCTAAGACTAACTTAAGCCTATGTTAATGTATAGGAGTTAAGATGATCTTAGCGCTAAGATCGCTTTGTGCAAGTGGGCCCTGAAGTGCCATCAGTGAGGACGACCATCATGACCTTTTGTCCTCGTCCAGCTCAGTTTAGTAGTCTCAGGCTAGTGGACAAGCATAAACTGCAAAGGATTGGCATTCAGGGTTTTTTATGTAGGCATCTTCGGAGGACGATATTCGGCAAATTATTGAAAAAAATCTATAATTCAAAATTTAAGAATTCCGATAATTGTCATAACAACCTATTGTTTAATTTCTTAAAGGGGAAGGAAGAGTGAATTCAATGTTAAGATACATATTTGGGTGCCCCTAGTCGTGTAAGGTGCTGCAATTCGCTGTGCAGAGTTAAACCCCTCAGCTTCCTGGTCCCTTGGCATGATGAAACTGTTGCTGAAGATTCGGGGTAGAATAGGTCTTCAGCGACCCATGTGTGCCATAAAAGGTGACAACGCTTGTCGTAAGAGGCGACTAACAGGATCGGCTGGTCAGGCTCGCTGACTTGGTTCATGCATGTCATCGTATTCCAAATGCATGGATCAATGCTCGTGATGTCAATCACTGGATTGTCTCGTCCAGACTCGATTATTTACAGACCGCCGTCAGATAGCTGGAATGTTGCTGAGTGCGGCTTAACAACAAATAAACAAACAAACAAACAAACAAACACTTGTCCCGGACAAGGGGAGGTAACTGCTGTGTTTTTATGGCATGTGAAGTGGAAGTTATGCCATACTGACAAGCGGAGGGATGTGGAGTCGCCCGTCTGACCTTCAAGAGTGTGTGGATATGTTCAAAGGGAGGTAATCACTTTACTCTTATCCATGCTCCCAACACGGTTCAATGGTGTAGTTTTCCTCTGCTTTCATCCGATGTCTTTCCCATAAAACGTGCAACTTGTTGAAATATTCACATCACGTTGTCCTTTAATTTACTGATTTGATATAAGGTTGTTTTACAGTCTGTGGTGAAACTTTCTATGCATGGAGTTACATTTTGGCTGGAATAACAAGTCTATGCATAATACAATCAAAATAGCTCACCGAAATCAAAATCAGGTTCGTAAACTGTCGTGCAGATTTCGGTCGATTTCAGGATTTGCAAAGCATGTGCACCGCCAACTCGTTGTCAGCAGATATTTTCCAAATCTGTTCATGTTTTTAACCAAGGTGCTCACGTGATTTGATGCATTTCGTGATTTAAGACCCGTTTTATCATATATATAACTGGATTACTGTTAAAAGTTAAACTGTTAAACCCAACTCACTCACTTACTCAATTGCTGGATTGTCAAGTCCAGACATGATTATTTACAGACCGCCGTTGTATAGCTGGAATATTGCTGAGTACGGCGTAAAACAACAAACCAACCGAAGTTGTGGTGGCAAATGGGTGTAGGGTGAATATAGAATGGAGGTAAAATACAGGTATTCGGGGATGGGTAGTTGGTTTGTTGTGCTTCAATGGTGCCTGCTTTCCTCCTGTAGTGCTGCTGTAATTATTCTGTGTCTGAGGATGTCAAATTTAATAAAATGAGACATGTTTGATGTTACTAGTTACTCAAGAATGTTCAAACCACAATGAGGGCGGTCGGGTAGCCTAGTGGTTAAAGCATTTGCTCGTCATGCCCGAAGACCCGGGTTCGATTCCCAACATGGGTACAATGTGTGAAGCCCATTTCTGGTGTCCCCCGCCGTGATATTGCTGGAATATTGCTATATAAAAAAAAAGCGGCGTAAAACCTCACTCACTCACTCACTCACTCACTCACTCACTCACTCACTCACTCACTCACTCACTCACTCACTGGCATTTGGCCAGTGGACCAGTGTATCTGTCTGGTGGACCAGTGCATTTGTTTAGTGGATCAGCGTATGTGTCTAATGTACATTATAGCTAAAATGGATAGAATTATCATTAAACCGCCCGCATGTAATCAGAAATAAGCGGGCCACTGTAACTTGATAATGCCCTCATATTGTTTGACGACGGGCCATTGTTAGGTGACGTTGTGTTTCTTTTTATTTGATATAAAATTCCATCCATTTTAGCTATAATAACGGTAACGCTACTTTTCAGGGCATTATCATTTGTAGCAGTCCTCGGTCTTTTCAACTGCCCTCCTTTGCCGGCAGTTTATTGAAGACCTCAGGCTTCTGAAAATGATAATGCCCTGAAAAATAGCGTTACCCTTTTGGGGGGCACGGGTGGCCCAGTCGTCTAAGGCGCCGCGATTCGCTGTGCAGAGTTGCGTCCCTTGGGCACGCCAGAAACCTATGATTGTGGGTTCGAATCCCGGTTCGCCCCGATTATGTTTCTAGGTTTGTCAGCACCATACCCGTGCTCATGGGTTTCACCAAAGTGGTAAACGTCTGAGACCTGCATCACTTCGGGCTTTCCTCCCACATTAAGCTGACACGCCGCGATATGACTGGAATACTGTTAAAAGCGGCGTTAAACCCAACTCACTCACTCACGTTACCCTTTTAAGAGTATTTTGTAGACCTGCATGTTTGTGGCCTCTGTAGGAGTGGATACCGTGTGTTGCACCTCTGCTGCTGACGTTCTGTCCTCGGTGACATAGTATAGTGTGTAGAGCTTCAAAAATGTTGAAACATCAGAATAATGATCACATTGTAATAATGTGAAGTCAAAAT